TATAATCTTCATGATTTAGTGTCCCAGATTAGAAACTCTGGCACAAATTTACTAAGTTTACTTGTCACATGAAGACTACAGACACACCATGTGAACTACAAACACAGCATGTAAGATTCTATTCCAAATTATATATGATTCTAATATTATATTACCAAAAAAACATATCCATAATGGATCCATGCACAGTAAAGAATTATGTTTTTTCTCCCAGGCTAAAATGATATTGCTTGCAACTGGACAGGTCACATAACCTACCAGGACTAATAGGATGTCATTTGTTCCAAAGTCACCCAATTATTAAAACAAGTTCTGGCAATCTTAGAAAATAGCATATAAATAGCAAATTGCATGTATGAAGTTAAAATTTATCTTGGACTATTTATTGGAGATAAATACAGAAAAATAGAAGACTGGAAAAATGATCTTATTAACTGTTTCTTAAAATTTTAATTGCTAACTGATGAAAATATCATTTGCAGAGTGAGAAAATCACGGAACAGCTAAGATGTTCTCTTAAAATCAGACTACCTGCTAGTCTGGCCTTCACAGACCTGATGTTAGAACATGCCAAAAGCAGATATGATTAACAGTGAATTACAGCTAGGAATAATACACTATTTCTTAGAACCATGGAATAATATCAAGTGTAGTATTCACTTTGTTGTTTGACGAAAAGTCTGCATTAGTAATAAGAAGCAACCAATTACATTTAAAAGGAATTCCATAAGTATCTATGTAGATTGGTTCTTCTTTCAGGACCCTTGCCAAAGACATAAGACTGATAATAAGTAAAGAAGGCATTTATAATGCTGGTACTACAGTTACAGAATATTGTCCCCAGAGAATCTAACCTTGTCAGTGCAAGCGGAAGATATTTTTTCTTTTCTGGCTTTGTAACTTACTCAATTATAAATATAAATTTCACGCTTCTTCAATAATGGTTGTCCTCTCTATTGAATTTACCTTGCTTCAGTTTTAAGTTGTCGTATGGTTGTTCCATGTCATACTTTACTGATCTCACATTTTATGCCCTCATTTTTATTTTGTAATAATACAGAAATAATAATAAAATTCCAGGCATAAATAAATTAAAAGAACAATTGAGAGATAATTACTGTCATTTTCTCCATAGATTCTCTTGAAAAGGCTTGACAAGCTGCATCAACTTCACTTCCTATCATAGTGTAGATGGATTCATGTTCAGTTTTCAGACTTTGTAGTTGATCATGAAGTTGAAGCCTTTCTTCATCCAACCTCCTTAGATGATCATCTTCACTATTTATTATTTTATTCTAAAGCAAACAATAACAAAGTAGAAACAAGAAATGTATTTATCATGTATTTACAATTAAGTGCAGCAGTTACAGATAAAATATTCTAGCTGCCTAGAGTAGCCCCACAGCAAAATAGGCGGCAAATAAATTTAACAAATAAATAAATAAGTAAAAACAGCAATTAATACCATTACAAACTAAAAACAAATGAAAAACCACAAAATAAAATAAGGAACATTTTAACTAAAGGGCCCATGACATAGAATAAAATGATGATTTGTACACTGAAAACATTGTCTTCTCTATATTTTCAATATTGAAAAAAAATCTTCAGAAATATGTAGACTTCTTAGTCATTCTGTGAGTCTGATAATACCCAATTATATGTCTGAAGACACTTTCATATTTCTAATATAACTTTTAACAACGTGATCCTCGCATCAACCAAGCCTCTTCAAGAACTTTTTCTTTTTCTTTTAAATTTTAATTATATTGTTTGATGAAGAATGTGTGGACCGTTAAAAACTTTCAGAAACTCCTATCCAGTTTGACTTCAGTAAAAATTATTTTTAAAAAAACAATTCAATCAACAAAACCCTAAATCACAGATTTGTTGCAAGTTTGACAAAATTAAGATAGCAAAGCTTTTTCCCTCAGATTAGCACTCTTTTATGGTCTATTTTCTCTCTCTTTTTCCCTTGATCTTAGGCCGTACCCAATGAATTCATCTTGAAATAAACACAGTATGTAATAGTGGCAGGATGAATGTTATAAGTGTGAATTACTCTACAATTTCCATACACATTCTATGATATGTAAGAATTCTCCAGGAGGCATGTGTAGCCCAGGGATTTTATGGATTCTATCAGCTTGTAAACTAAACTATACCTGATGTCACGGCAAGAAAATCTTTCCTAAAGGGGACAAGCCTGTTTGTAAGGCTTAAATTACCCATTCCCCTTTTAAATATTGTAATTATTATTATGGTTTGCTACAGTTAGCCAGATGTTTAGACTGGATTTGGCCTTTTTATCCACTAGTTGAACCCTTCACAAGGAACAGGCAGATATTATTTGACAGTGTTAAAGGTATCATTGCAGTATATAAGTAAAGCTTCCTTCTGCAACTGACTGATGGTGATTTTGTCAATGCCAATAGTGTTCAAGTGGTACTACAGATGTTTTGGGATAGTACTCAAGGTGCTTATTACTAAAGATACTATCTTTGTTTTCTTTTGCCATGATAGTTCTACTATTTGCAGATGTTTGCTTTTTGTGATTTTCTCCACTTCTTTTTCTTCTGTTCTGCTGTCAGGTACTACCATCTCCACTATTCAAATTTCTGATTTTGCTTATCAACCTTTGCAAAATCTGAAGTGTTTATGTGGCAGTTGCTTGTCCATTTAAATCCTAAAATCCCAGAGCACTTTAGCTTCTTCATTTTCTATTAAGTTGTCTATGTGTTGTGGTCCCACCAGTTCTTGGTTGCAAGTAAGTGGTATTGGTTGCAGATTATTAAATCATGAATGAAAACCAATATAAGTGTCTCAAGGTAATGTTGCAGGATCCAATCTGGGGCAGTCACTGGGACCAGAGGTTTAGTCTTCTGAGCTTTCGGACTTGTGCTGGAGCCCATCCTCGGGGAACTTCTCTCTAGCAGATTTTTAAATGCACTGTTGTTGCTACTTTGTCATGTTCTTTATAGTCAAGGTGTCTGTGTGAACATCTTGAGCAGCTAACTAGGTAGTCTCTTCTATCTTTGAATTCTCTATCTCTTCTGTCTTCTCAATTCTGACTTGGTGTGCATTTTTTCATAAGGCTTGGTTTTGTGCAGCCAGAATTAGACCTCTGTCTCTTTCTCCATTTTCCTCTTAGACATTGCCACATATTCTTGCTATTTGCTTGTCCTGCTATTTTTAATGTACTGACCAATTAATACTTTGTCTTATCATTTCTCTTTTCTATTCTTCATTCAGTTTTCTTGTAGAGCAGTTTGTCTCTCCACTACTCAATAAGCATTTATGATGTATATAAAAAGATCTTCAGTGGATCTTCTTCACTGACCTTCAGATATTCTTCCAAAGCCATTTCTTCTTCAACTGTCCAGTGTACTTGCAGCATTCCACACCCACTTATTTTCCTTGTGTCAACACTGCTGTGCGGATGAAGGTCCTGCTTCAATGTCATTATTTTTCTGGTCTTTCTATCCTGAGCTTTTCATTCTCTTTAGGTCAAGTTCACTATTCTAGCTGTGTATCTAATGACTGGAATTGCCCAGGTGTTCATTGTCTTGATGGTATTTCCTCCACTGAGTTGGGATTTTAAGATCTTCTTCACTCTCATGCATATTCACTTCTAACCTTCTTCTTGACTTTAGTATGCTTGATATTGTCAGTTGATGGATGCCCAGGTATTTGTAGTTATTTTCTTCATCCAGACCCTTGGCACATTTGTCCAGTCCAAACGCCATTGCAATATTTTGGCTATACGGACAGCGTTGAGTAGTAATTCTATTTCGGATGCAAAGGAGATGGGATACTACAACTTGGCAGATGTTTTTGATGTTTGAGAGCTATGTCCTGACTTGTTCAGTACTGTTGACAGAGGAAACAGTGCAATGAGAAACTGTAGTAGTGAGTCTCCTCTGCTGTTTGAGCAGTTTCCTTTTTGCTCAGGTGAAAAGACCTTGTTTTCAACTAAATGATGTAGGACTACATCAGCTACCATACCAGTTACAAATTTGAAAGTTATTAGCGGGAAGGTAATTGGCCTTTAGTTGTCTGGTGCTGCCCCTTTTTTAGGATGTTTCATTATCAACTAGGTTTTGTTATTATATGATTCACTGGAACATTTGTAAAAATTATCATGTGCCAGTAATGAAAAATTGATGGGAACAGAGAGTTGAAAAAGTAGATGAAAATGAGCAGGTTAAAATATTGTGGGTTTCCAAATACAAACTGATAAAAGTCTTGGCTCATAACAGACCAGATTTAACTGTGGTTGAAAAGAAAAATATATAGATAATTGATGTGACAATTCCAGGAGAAAATAGATAATACAAGAAATTGGAAAAAATCACAAAGTATGAAGATCTGAAAAACTAAAAAATGAATCATTATGGCATAAATTGGATAGCATATACCAAAAATCTTAGACAACATTAGAAAATCTGCATGTTGACAAAATTTCCATTTATCAATTGCAAAAATCCATACTGCTTTGATCCACACATATACCACATATATACATTACAACATCCTAGGGTCTTAGGAAGAACTCGATGTACTATATAAGAAGGCCAACACCCATTAAAGAACTGGCAGCTGTGATTTTACATTTTTTTCTACAATAATAATAATAATAATAAGCCAACCTCTTTCAAACAGCTCTTGAGTGTGTGTATGTGTATAAGATAAACTTTATGGAGGTGGGGACATTATGAAAAATGTTGTTACATGTTTCACACAAAATGTAATATAGTATTTTCAGTTCTGGACTGCGCCTGGAGATCATGGTTCAGTTCCCCACTTGACCTGGAACTGTCTAATTTTCGATTAATCATTTTATCGATGCCAAAACTTGTTGTTGCGAGGACAGACACTGTTTAAACTCCTCTGAGATTTTAATATGAATGCAGAAAACAAAAAAAAAAAAAATCAGATTAGTAGAGCAAAAGAAATATCCAGATCTACTTACTGCAATATATCTGTCTGTTCAATTATAGGGGGCATATCTAAGGTTTCTAAGAGCTCCAGGCAGTGCCACTCAGTACTAACTCTCATTATGGAAATTAGGCAGCAGTAGTAGCTGCTAATCTGATAGCAGTTAGACTGTTCCTGACAGCTATTTTCATTTGGAACATGAGAAACAAAGGTAAGAAAATTAAATACACGTTGTCTCTTTTAAGTATACAGTGGGATTCTAACTCATTTCCCCCTTTAAAGCAAGGAGACACAGAATAAGAAGCATAAACTATAATTTCAATATAGTTTCAGCTAATTCCACAAAAGCTGAGAATCTCTTGGTACAGCAACACTAAAATCCTGGATTTCTGATTTGGTGTTATGGATCAGGTCTCCAGGGATGATGAAAAAAAAGCGAAAAGCAGGAGGGAGAGAAGGGCAGTATAGAAGAAATAATAGCAAGATAATGGTTGATGGTTTGTTTGTAGTTTGGACACACTGTCACTTCTTATTTATATATCAGTTGGCTCTGCAGTATGAAGTGTGTGGTGGAGAATGGCTGAAATAGACTAAAGAAGGATTCTTTCTCTCATGTTTATCACATGGAAATTATCAAAGGTCCAATAAAATAACACTTTCTTTTTATAGTCTAATCCCAAATGTGTGTATGTATATGTGAATGTGAAAAAAATATTTATAAATTAAATATGAGTGGCATGAAGGCATACAGAGGTGAACAGAATCAAAGTTGAATTCCAGAAAGGAATGAAAACAAGAAGGTGAAAAGGCTGAAATTAAGACATTCTGCTCAGAGGCGGGTTTCAGCAGGTTCTGTCCAGTTCTGGAGAACCAGTAGTGGAAATTTTGAATAGTTCAGAGAACCGGTAGTAAAAATTCTGCCTGGCCCCGCCCTCATCTATTCTCTGCCTCCCAAGTCCCAGCTGATCGGGAGGAAATGGGGATTTTGCAGTAACCTTCCCCTGGAGTGGGGAGGGAATGGAGATTTTACAGTATCCTTCCCCTGCCACGTCCACCAAGCCACACCCACAGAATCAGTAGTAAAAAAATTTGAAACCCACCACTGATTCTGCTGCAGGCCAAAGTCTTGAAGATTTCTAGAAGATACTAGTTTCAAATGAAATAGGTGACCAGAAAACACAGAGGTATGGAGAGAAAGAGTCATTTAGGTGACATGGCTGGTACTGAAATTTGATTGATTGATAAATAAATAAATTCCCACCAAGCTCTCTTACTTTCAGCTACTATTATATTTACAGTATTTAGTGCACTAGTGGTTCAGAGTTAAGTTGGCATTTCAGTAGAAAGGAAAGTTGAGCCAGAGTGGACACAGTTGACATCATGGAATAAACAAGTTAGCAAAGAGCCAACGTAATCTACACAGTCTTTAGTCAGCAAAAGTAGCAGCTATTCCAGGGAAGACACGGTGGAAATAATTGTTATTGCCATTTTTTTACTGTAGTTTGCACTTCTAGCTTTCAGAATTGGCAAAACAACAACAACAAAAACATACAGTCACTGGAGCTCTCTGTAAATTCTTCCATCCAGCAAATAAGCAGAACCCACAGAACAGCTCATATTCAATATCTGAAGATTTATTACAAAGCAAAATTGTTTAATTTTACACTTCAGTGCTACAGTTCTTTCTCAGCTGACATCTTTTGCCTGACACAAACATCTCACTCAAGACAGCTTAGTTTAAAGCATCAATATACGTTGGGCAGAAAAGATTGAAGAATTATATGCAGATCATTCCTATCTTTGAATTTTGTCCATTAGGAAGACAGGATTTCTGCAATCAATCAATATAAGACGAGGATAATGAGGATAAATTGGAGAGAATAATCTACATTTAGTCAAAATCCTCAGTTTGTGAGAGCTAGTACTAGCTCAAGACTTGGTAAGAACCCGACTCAGAGATTTCAAAGGCATTAAAACAAGCACATCTTTCCAATGGCACCCTACCTGAGTTTCAGAGTATTTCAGAGCAGAATATCTGCTTGAAGTTTAAATGGCAAGTTGCTGCCATTTTAAACTCTCAAAATGTACTGCTTGATACATTTAGACGTTGCACTAGGGAAGTTAACTGGTACCGTGGCACTGAGAAAAATCACTTCCTGCTAGAAAATTCTGCAACTTGTTGCTGCCAGTAATAAAGCTGTACAGAGAGAGGTTCAAATGTGTGCAATTGTCATCTATGGAAGTAGCGATAGTATTACTGCAAAGAAGCTAAGACCATCCCTCTCAATGCCTTTATTAAAGTGCTGCTATTGTTGGGACCAAACTGCTTTGGCATTTTTAAAGAATGAACAATCTTTTTCATCTTTTTTACAGATCACATCCAATCAATAAAGAAAGCTGTGGGAAGTATGAGCAAAAGTTATCAGCCCTATTGAAAGAAGAAGAGACTCTTGGTTTTTCTAAATCTTTGGGCTAGCCTTGATACATGTTCTAAATTCAGCTCTACAATCTTTGTACTAGCATAACACTATGGCTACAAATGATTAAAATCAGTAGCATAAGTTACTTTGCGCAGGTCGCCCTCGGGAAGTGAGGGGAGCCGAATGTCCACTTGCAAAGCTTTCAAGTTGCCATGAGCAGGAGGGAGGGAGAACTGATAGATTGATTTCCCTAACTGAAGTGCATTCCATACATTCTTCCCGACCGAAATCAGAAGGAGGGTGTTGGATTTCACAGCCAGCCAAAGTGTTTAATTGGAGAATGTGATTTATGACATGGCCAGAGAGGAGGGGAGAGACAGGAGATCATAGGGGAACGTAAATCTACGTGGGATTAGTTCTAACTGCATCCGAATATTGCCGAAATAGTGCTTCTAATAAATGACTGTATTTCTTTTGAAGTTCGGCTCATGGCTCATGAATTAATTAGGGCATCTTTCGGAAACTTCACACTAACATCTCCTAACAGTTTTCAAGGAAAAGTATTCCCCTTCTTGTCCCTACCTAAAAACTACCTAATAAAAAGGCCAGGTAACTCAATAGCTTACCACAGCACATCATGAGGCACATCAAGTTCCAACGCAAAGACTCTCGTATAACACTTTTGGCCTCATATCTATGGAGAGAGCATGTTAAAGCCCAAGCAGAGATAAGAAGTAGAATCATTTCAGAATGGACCAGTTCCAAGGACAATAACAAACCCCGTATCTCCTGCTGGATCATTCTCAAGCTCCAGTTAGCCTACAACCGGTTTCCCACAATAGTCAGTTGTTTCCAGCAACCTAAAATAGGACTGCATTCTTCCACTGCACCTCTCATTACTGATATCTAAAGCCATACTATCTTGCAGTCTTGATGTTTCATATGTCTTGGTATTTCATTTGTTATGACCATAACAATATTTATTATGTTAATAGCAAATAGCCAGAGAATTTTCTTTTATATTCAAACAGAAATGAATTTCCATAACTAATTACTGTATGTGATTATCTAATGGTATCACTCAACTAATAGAAAACACTGTGATCCATTCGTGACTTACAGTCATAGTAATGGGAGAGGATTTTATTTTAAATGTATCTCTTCTTTGTAGGAACCACATGCTAACTTCCATATTGTTTTAAAGTGTAAGTCACAGGATCACAGTCCATTTGCTGAAGAATTACTGTATCTCCACGTACTAAATTAAAAAACAATCTACAATCGCCAATACTGTTATAAATTTAAATATAGAAAAGTGAGATTTTTCAAGACTTAATAGCTTTAACAGCTAATGGGTCTTTACAGTAGGAAAACCATTTGTCCTATTGCAAAGAGTTTATGCTTGTCATAAAGATTGCGAGTCGCTTTATATATATATAAATATATAAATATAAATATATATATAAATATATATATATATATATAATATATAGTCGCTTTATATATATATTTCTTTATTATATTTTTAATTTTACTTTTTTCTTTCTTTTTCCTTGCACTTTTTATCCTTTCTATTCTCTGTTTTAAGTTTAATTTGTATTAGATATTACTATTACTATCAATATATATATATATATATATATATATATATATATATATATATATATATATATATTTCCCTCCATTCCAAATACATTTTCAGTTATTTGAGTGTAAGAAAATTTTGTCAAGACCACCTTGTTCAGAATTTTAAATTTTGTTAGCTTGCCCTATGCTGGGATCAGACCCCTCACAAAATGTTGCAAATTGTGGGATTTTTTAAAAAAGTACATACATACAACATGTGAGATTATTTTCTAGAAGGAAATGGAATTTTGATAATGGCATATCAGCCTGTGGCTTGTTTAGCAATTTTCAGATGATTGAGTATAAATAAGCTGAAATTATATGTAATAAACAATTGTTGATAATCTCAATATATTTCACAACAAATGCAGAAAAAGACAATAAATAACAGAGAACATATACAGTTCACAGTTAAACTGTGAAGCTCTTGATGCCTTTTGAGTTTGTCTGGTTGCTTACTTGCAGATGTTTCTTGACCCAACAGGGCAACATCCTAGTTGGTTAATGATATCTATTTATTTAATAAATAAATTTATATAGCTGCCCAACTCACCAGAAGTGGGTTTCAGCAGGTTCTGACCAGTTCTGGAGAACTGGTAGCGGAAATTTTGAGTAGTTCGGAGAACCGGTAGTAAAAATTCTGACTGGCCCTGCCCCCATCTATTCTTTGCCTCCTGAGTCCCAGCTGATCAGGAGGAAATGGGGATTTTCCCCTGGCCCTGGATTGGAGAGGGAACGGAGATTTTACAGTATCCTTTCCCTGGATTGGGGAGGGAATGGTGATATTATAGTATCCTTCCCATGCCACACCCACCAAGTTACGCCCACCAAGCCACTCCCACAGAACCGGTAGTAAAAACAATTGAAACCCACCACTGTAACTCACACATGGTAGCTTGCAAACAACCATGCTCAGAGAAAACTATGGAAATGTAGATCATTACTACTATTGAAATTCCCCGCATACATTGGGGAACATCACATGGCCACTTTGAATTCATTTTGTAACACTGAAATCTGCCCATATTGAAGATAACTGTTCTCTAGGATTACAGGAGAAAAAAGATTGATGTGAACTATTTAATGTTCCTCATACAACACTATGCAATGATTTTGCTTGTGCGTTGCCTTTATTTTACAAAAGAAGGCCATGATGGGATGCGGAATAGGAGGAGAAAGTCCAAAGATGTTCATTTACATAGTTTTAGATTAGGTCAAAGGTTCATTTTCTCACCACCTCCTAGGGATACAAAGAAAACATATTTAATAAATAACTCACAAAAAAAAAGCTCCCAAGGAAATGAAAACCAGAATGCAGTCCTCTGATCAAGTTCTCAAAAATGAATCCTTGTTTGACATTTTCTCATTTGATCGTTTTTTTTTTTTCTTTTGACATTATAAAGAGTTAGCTTTGAGCAGCTGCTCTGCTCTGATCCAAAGAACACAATAGTAAGAATCCAATCGTGGGTCTGTTTTACCCAGGGAAATATTTTGATTTGGTAAAAGTAGACTCTGTGCTCTCTTATTCTCTCTTTAATTATATCCATGCAGGAAGAAGAGTCATTAGAAAACCTGTCATCAGAAAGTGCAAATCCAAACACAGCTTGGCCTGGACAGCCTTTGGAAATTGCTGGAATGCACTAGTACTTTTATTTATGAGCCAAATGTTTAAGCAACGTTGTAGTTGTGTAACCGACCAGAGAACATGGAAAACCATTAGCAATTTCCTATGGGATGCTATCTCCGAGTTCTTCAAATTACAGGATGAACCTACATTTTTATTTTAAAAAAAGAGGCAGAATGTTTTTGTTTCAAAGGTTTCATTGGAACATCACATTATAAATTTGTCACGTCTTGGTAATAATCTTGAAGCCTGTTAAATCCCTTTGCCTGTTTCTATCACTTTCCACAGAATACTTAGTAAGAATAAAGAAATTCATGGCATTGCCAGAAGAGTTAAACTATAAAAGGCTAGTGTAGAACAAAGATGTTCAGTGTTATACGTTGAGCCCTCTCGGAAAACACTTAAACATACTAAAAGAAAACAACTCAGAAGGTTAAAAAAACCCTGAAGAATATGCCAATCAACAACAGAAAAACTATCCAAACTTGTAGTTTGCAAAGGAAGTTCTAATGGGAAACAAAATCCTGGAAAGAAAAATGTGGAACTAGACAAAGGCAAACCAGATAAATGTATTTCTCATTATTTGTTTAGTAGACAGTGAGGTTAAGAGCATTGCAGTACATCAGTATTTTTCATAAATTAATTAGGCCATTTTTGTATCTAACTATTATGGACACATGACAACTGAACTTTTCTTGTAAATTTGAAACATTTTGTTATTTATCCAAGCAGCTTCTTCAATCTGAAGAAATGGTTGACACGTTTCTCAACATACACTCATACACTAATGTAAATCTTAATAGAAAAATTGGTATATAGCCTTTCTCTGCCTTACTTACCCAGGGCCATCTAAATTTATACCAATACAATTATCATTCAAATACATTAACAATGCACACTGGCAGGAAACACTTTTTTAGTTTTACTTCCTTTTTTCAAAAGAGCTAAGAATGCCTCTTACCTTAATGTAAAGCTATTCCTTTAAAAAAAACAAACCAACACTTTTTCATTTTAAACTGGGGCTGGAGTCACTATCACTTCAGACCCAGTTTAAATATCGCATATTGAAACATTGGCAGATGTTAAATTTTTTGTACCTATGACAATTCAAATGCACTGATCTAAAGCAGGTCATTTATTTTTCTGAATTAAATTACTAATAGGTACTTGATGGCATTTATTTCTTTTCCTGTAGGTCTGATGGAATCAGTTTTGAAGTTTTTTAATTCATAAATTACATGTTTATACTATTTATCTCTTGTGACTCAAGGCAGTTTACATTTCTATCATTTGATCTCCCATGACAGTATGCCATGTATAGTAATGACAATATCAATTAGGAATAAATAATCTGATCTCAGAAAGCCCTGTTAGCTCATTCCATAGAGCATGGCACTCAACTGCAAGGTTGTGGGTTCAAGTTCCATGTTGGGTGGCTGTAGTTTTTTAGCCAGTTTGGTGCAGTGTTAAGGTCCAGGATATAACCCCGGAGATCATGAATTGTAGTCTTCCCTCTGTATCAGCCCAACTTATCCCACAGGAATGTTGTTGTGGAGAAAATAGGGGGTAGGAGCATTGTGTTTGCTGCCTTCAGTTTATTTATTTTATTTATTTATTTAATTTGTCAAGCATATATAAGTATATATATAAGCATATATACAGGTAATTTGAATACATGAAAAGAGTAAGAGTAAAAAGGAATATTAGGACAGCGACGGTAGGCACGGTGGTGCTCTTATACATGCCCTTTACAGACCTCTTAGGAATGGGGTGAGGTTAACAGTAGACAGTCTTAGATTAAAATTTTGGGGGTTTTGGGATGAAACCACAGAGTCAGGTTTCTTCCCCAAACCCCCAAAACTTTAACCTTAAACTGTCTACTGTTGACCTC